GAATGTTTTATTTTTGGACATAAATAATAGTACCTTCTGAAAACGGACCCTCTTATGACGAAGAAACCTCGTCTCGCCATAGTTGAAAGAAAATACCAAACGCCCGACGGAGACTGAGGCAACTGATATATTAATTCTTTCAACTGTGATCTCGCGCTAATTCACTCTGTCAGAAATCATGTATCATTCATCTCTGTCTGAAATAGTCTTAGTCTTTCAGTATTAGGGTTTTGACGTCACATCATCGCCTCGTTTTCAGAGGTCCGAAAAATCGGGGATTTCAATAACTTTTTATAAAACGTAGGGAGCTCACAGCAAGAAACGGTTTGCGGTGGTGAGCTAGTTTGAGTGAGTTCTATCGAATTATGAATTTTTTTTTGTGATTTAAGCCCATTAGAAGGATTTCTATATTCTTTAGGATACTGAGGATACAAAATTTTTAATCAATTTGTAGAAAATTGATCAAAATATGGAATATAATATGAAATATGTATAGTGTCCACCTGAGGACTTACTTATACGACCTCCTGGTAAAATCTTTACTGCCTGATCGATGTTTATGAGCTTTATTTTCGTTAGTAATAAGTATTTGAAATACTCACCAAGTTGGATTACTTCATTTCTGAGCCACGGAATACCAATTTTAGGTGCAGTTTTTCTCGTATCAGGATCATAGAATTAGTTTTCGAGAGAAACAATCAAAAATCAAACATTCACTCGTCTCTATAAAACTATGAATAACCCAAACCTTTTTATTTTTGAAGAATAGAATAACGCAGGGATTGTTCAAATGAATGTTTTTTGTGTCAGGCTTCTGGGTCTTTCGACTTGGCTTCTTTTTCCAACGTCTGGAGCTGGTATCAAAGAACCAAATCAGCCATGGAAGGTTTCGGATACGAAGAAGTGTGTCAGACAGGTGCAGATGCTTTCGGATCGATTTATAAGAGCAAACTCAAGTGAACAAAAGTGAATCAATGTATTCTAAAAACAAGTCTCATACTCTCATTTCATGTATTAACTTCAAATGAAAATAAATATTTGTTTTCTCACCTACATAATTCCAGTTTTATTTCATTACAATCTATTATTATTCTGCTACGATTCATAGTCTTGGTGAATAAAAAAATAAATAAATGAAGGAAATGCTAGATTGGTTTGAAAGATTTCAATTCTGATCACAGATAATTATGTATAATTATCTATGATTCTGATTGATCTATCAGCGATGATGATTTCAACGATGTAACCATCGATAGCGAAGCAAAAGTCTGTCAGTTTGGCAAAAAATAATTATGGCTGTATATACTTGTCATATATAATAAATGGTTTTTATGATTCGTGAACGTGAAATAGTGTTTATTTTTTTTTCTGAAATTAACAAGGCTTTGGAGGTCTTTTTGCTTTACCTTCTAAGACTTGTACAGTTGGAAGGTCATTTAGTGGCCTTTAGGAGAATCAAAACCTGGTTAAGGAGAACCATGTCTGAAGCTTGAAGTAATGGCCTCGCAGGCAACATATTTTTCAAAACTTGAACGATTTCGTCAACAAAGTGCCCAACGAATTCGCAAAGAATTCTAGAAGATTATTTTTCGATAGATCTTTTTCGGCTTTTTAATTCTCCCTATTGAACTCTTCTCATTTGATTTTTCTCTTAATTTTTTTTTAATGGTGCCCCCCCCTAGCATTCCGGCTGGCGACGCCCTTGGTCAGTGCGTCAGAGCAGTACCTTTGAAAAATTTCTAATTATTGATGAAAATCTGGAAATAAAATTGTTTTCTCTCAGGACTCAACGGTGCCTTTTCGTATGTATACGGACATGAAAATAGAGGTAAGCTATTTTCAATCGGCCTATCTTGGTCACTAGTTCACCCTGTAGAATTAATAATACGTTGTTCTGGGACACCTTGTGAATGAGTTTTTATAAGTTCTGGTTTCCACGAAAATGTAATGTTCAGAGAACATCGTGAGAGCCAAGGGAAATAAGGTAGGAATTGGTGTTCTTCTTGAATTTCTGGAGTTTATATGCCTCGGAGAACACCTCCCTTGGCAATGTGTTCCAGTGCCTCGTTGTTCGTTGGATTTACGAGTCTTTGGAAAGAGATGTTCTGCAGTTCTCCAAAGTGACGACGAAGGGGTGCGAAGCCTCAAGTTGACGGGCTAATCTCGTGGAGACTGGCAAGGGAGGAACAATTGTTGATCATCGTCCATGAAAATATCTATAGAATAGAGCCAGATCGCCAACTTTTCTACGGTGTTCCAGAGAAGTAAGTGAGTTTGTGAGCCAGGCATCACCCACGAGACGAATTGCCCTTTTTTGAACAGAATCCAACAGTTTTAGTGTATGTTTGGGTGCTGCACTCCAAATATGGGAACAGTATTTCAGGACAGGTCGGATCTGTGCCTTATAGATCATAAGCAGCTGACTGGTAGTGAAATTGCTCCTGGCCCGAAACAGAAAACCAAGTTTTTGGGATGCACTTTTAGCAATTGATCTCACGTGATTTTCCCAAGAAAGGTTATTGTTGATAGTAATACCAAGCATCGAAATCAATGTCTTCAAAGGTATGGTTACTCCTGAAAAGCTTATGTTGGGCACAGTGAGGTCGGCTTTTCTAGAGAATAGGCATGCTTGTGTTTTGTTTGCATTGAAATCTACCAAGTTATTGGATCCCCATTCGAGAATTGTTGCCGAGTCTATATTTATGTTGTCAACATTTCTTCCTCGTTCGTTCCTGATTTGCCTGGCTAGTATTGGAGCCCTGGAAGAGAAGGCGGTATGGAGGGTACTATCAAAGTTTACAGAATTAATTAATTCTGTAAACTTTGGTACTATCATCCGCGAAGCTGTGTACTGGACATGAAGTTGCTACGAACAAATCGTGGATATGGATTAGAAATAGTGTTGATGGTGCTAGAATTGATCATTCTGTATAAGAACATTATTGCTATCTCACTAATAATAAATCGATATAATATGAGAATTATCCATACGTACACCAAATCAATGAAATTACTAAATAATTCACGTAAATAAATAGGTAGGCATAGTATCTTATTCTTGTTGTGATTTCTGTTTCTATGGTCACATCCCTTTTTATGACGTGTTTATCGACAATTTGTTAGCTTCTCCCAAGGGAAGGTATTTCCTTCGTTATATAATTACCGAAGTTCAAGCGTGAAAAGAACAAGTATTTAGTATCAATTTAGTCACCCTGGGGAATTGCATGGACTCAGAGGGTATTACCCCTCTCAACAACAGGTGAGTACCTACCTATAAGAGTGAAACTAATCGATTACTCGAAAAATATACTGCTATCAAAAATTCTTGGTCCTCCTCAAACAAATAAATGATTGTTAAAACATGATTTTTCTGAAGAACATTTATTCATTTATTAATTTATTAAATAAATGACTTCCAGACAGTATAGGCTCTGGTATAAGGCAGTATGTACATAAGTAAACATTTCATCATTCAAAATATATCAACAACTATGAATTGGTAAACAAAGAATAATATTTTTAGAAAAAACATATCACAATATTATTAGTTTTTTTTACTTCATTTTTGAATGTACCTATATTTCTGCAATTTTTTATATTGCCAGGTGGCTGAATGAATGAATCTTTTTTGTTCGACTATGGAGCTAGATAGCGGCGTCAAGATGAAACAAGTTATATTTTCTAGTTTCATGATTATGAATTTCAGAATTCCGTATCAAAATAATATTCGACTTCAATTTTTTATTTATAATATTATATGAAATTTTTTGAGTTTCAATTCTATATATTTCTTCTAAAGGATACGTATTATTTGTTATTTCATACAATTGATTGGTTGGTGTATCAAATGGAAGACGATATACAGTACTTTTAAAGATTTCCTTCATAATGTTGATATTTTTATTAAAATTACTTTTTGAAGAAGATCCCCAAACATTTATTAAATAGTTGATACGACTCAATATATATGAGAGTAGAGAATCATGTTGGCCATTTTAATATCAAGCTTCTCGATGCACCAATAATTGGACATATTTTTTTGTCAAAACATCGATATGTTTGTCCCACTTCAACCTGTCATCAAATCAAATACCAAGATATTTTATCTGGTCAGTTTGTTTCAAGAGTTCATTTTTTATTTTAAGGTTGAAGTAAACTTTTTGTTCATTTATTAGTATTTATCGATAAAATGTTAGAGTGGAGCCATTTTTCAAATATTTTCAAGTCTTCATTTATCATCTTTTCTGAATTTTAAGGATTCTTGCTTTCATATAAAAGTACTGTATCATCTGCATACATGGTATATTTACTCGCTAGACCAATTTCACATTATCTCAACTTTTTTCCACTGATTTGAATATTGCTTTTGTTATATCGATCTGTGAAGAAATTTAAAATCAATATTATTGTATTGCGGAAAAAATGCAATCGACTCAATATACGGAGTGTAAAATTTTCACGATCATTTTTCGAAATGTAGAGGAGGAAAATGTGTATTTTGGAGCTGATCGACGTTCATTTTTTTCAAACCATGGCCTACTAGATCATAAATTCAGAGGCTGATAAATCCAGAATCCGTATAGTAGCGATTTTTCGTCCTCTGAAATAGATCTGTACCTTCTGTACTGAGTTTCATGAGAAAATATTCAATATTAACGAACGAACGATAGTGTTCTGAAGACAACCATTGAGATTATTCAATATCAATATCCTTCTCAATAAGTAGGTATAATTTTGAGACTGTCGCAGTCACCAAACATAGTTAACTTTTCTTCCTTGAAAGTTTCCACAGGCGGATCATAAAAAAATAATTATAAGTAATAGTTTCATCCTCAACATCCTTTTTCTCAAAAACCAAGCAAGCCACGTACGACATAAATATGAGCTTATGTGAACTGTTTTTCCTGAAATATGAAAAAAGGAACCATGTCCTGAATATTTTCGTACTTATTCTTCATCTTAAATTCTTTGTCAAAATGGCCATTTTTTATGGTTTGCAGTGTTTTCAATTCGAAAATGACGAACCACACAGTCGTTTTTTACCACTTTTATTTGAGCCCAGTATCAAGGGCTGCCTTGCTTTTGACGAGAGCTCTGGGAATCAAACACACTGTCGAAGTTGTTAATCTTTTAACAAGAGAACATATGAGTCCTGAATTCATCAAAGTAAGTGGAAGAAAAAACTGAGGTTTGCCACAAGAAAAACGATGCCCAGTATCTACAGTTGATTTTTTTTTAGATGAATCCCTTGCACACTGTACCTGTTCTCAACGATGGAGGATTCATAATATATGACAGGTAAATCACTAAATCAGTACTGCTTCTAATTAGGTTCAAATATATTTATTCATTTAATCATTCATTCATTCATTTATTTATTCATCTATTTATTCATTTATTTATTCATTTTTTTATTCATTCATTTATTCATTTATTTATTCATTTATTTATTCATTTATCTCTAAATGAAAACCTAGTAGGCGACCTAGTGCGAGGAGGACGAACTACCTAACTAGGTTGTCATCTAGAACGACAATGGTTTAATCATGTTTAACAGAATATTCCTCCAGCTTCGCGGTTGGATTATTTCAACTGTCAAACTGACACTCTTTGTAATTATGCAAAAAGTTATCGATGTATAATAACTGAGATGTTTATAAGTCTCTAGGCATCTTAATAATAACCCTACTATTTCGAAGTACTTACAAGTATTACTACTGAATATGTCATGAATAATCATGTTTTAGTAGGGATTGATTCAATTGGAATATTTGATTGAATTAATATAAACATATTGAAAAAGAAATTATTGTCAATGTACACATTCAATTTCTATTGTAGTGTGGCCTTGATGATGGAAATATACATTTTCGAAAGCTCAGACAAACTTAATGAGTTCACCTTTACCATATATATTTATATATGTACAGTATGATGCAAATGTATGGAATAAATTCATTTCAAAACAAGATGACTCCCGAAAAAAATCCAAAAGTAGAGTTCAGAACTTTCTTATCGATGTATTTTTTCAACTAGACGACACTTCGATGTTCAATTCTCTGTAGAAGATATCTGCAAGATTCAGTAAACCAAATGATAATCCATTTTAATTTCAATCTTCTTTTGCAAAATTTTGACTATTGGATAGACGATCAGTAGACCTTTCAAACGAGGTGGCACATGACCCCTGTTTGTATTTAAACAAACCGTCCATTACGTCATTACTCCAACACCGGTGACGTAACATCTCTCATATGAATGTCATGAGATGAGGTTTCAAAAATTAAAACTCACGTGTTTCTGGAATCTCTTCAAATGTCGCCCATTTCTGAAATAATGAATTTATTCCATACATTTGCATCATACTGTATATATATTTTATGTATTCATATATTGATTCCACATTATCGAAGATTAATATTTTGTCAAGTTCTCAAGCGACTGAGGAATATTCCGAAGGAATATCATGTTGATCTTTAATTAGAGTATTTTTATATCATTTTTATATCACTCTGGAAGTTTTTCAATTGAAATAATCTTGAAAATATAATATTCCTATAAATATTAATCCTAAGGAATATCCTTAAGTATGATTGGTAGAATATTATGATTATTTACCTATATCAAAAAATATTCAACAATGCAAAAAAGTAGCTAGGTATTGTCAATTTTGGATTATCAACCAGGTGATTTGATGAAGAATTTGCAAATTTCAATCCTTTATATTTTTAATTTCCCAAATTTGTGTTTTAGCATCGTCATAATGAAATACTTGGCCAATCAGTACGGCAAAGACGATAGTCTGTATCCTGCGAGTCCTAAAAAAGCAGCCTTGGTCGATCAAAGGTTGTTTTTCAGTGCTACGTATTTGTTCCCAAGATTTCGAGCATTCTATGTACGTATTCGAATACTGAGTTCATGAATTAGTATAAAATGATCCTCAAATTTTCTTTGGTCACGAAGAAATGTGTTTTTTCCACTAGCGTGCGGGAAAGAGGAATTTGGGTTTTTTACGCACGCTAGGGAAAAAAGTAGTAGATGATCCATTATGGATATCTAGGGGGAGGATAGGGAGAGGAGGTAGGCATTGGGATTTTTTTCATCCTTTGGAGATTATAAGTTCTTGTTAATACTCTGTTAGGCAAAATTGTCCAAAGCTTTGAAGTTTTATGTATAAACGAGTTTTGGTAAAGAGTTGTTCGACATATTTAGAGGTTGATGACAAAATGGTGTGTTGACTTTGGGCTTGTCGAGTACGTTTGAGTGATGGGAATGAAGTAATTAGATTGCTACATGGAGGTTTCCCACTCATATCACGTAGAATTGATAGAAAATGATCAAATTATAGAGATGCTAGCTGTACTATATGACAACTTATCGCTCATTAGGTAGTCAGGCAAGAATGGAGAAATGTACCAGAGCAGATAATTGGGGGTAAACAATCCAGTTTCTTGATAATACATTTGGACATTCCCCATTTGTTCCTTAACTCTTTGGACTTATTTTTTGTTTTCAATGATGATGATTCAAATATGATTTTGATCTCTAGTTGCTCAACTTCATTGCCCATTATACTCTATCAAATGAATCCAGGTGGTTTGATTTTTGTGACATTCCCCCTTTTTCCCCTGTGGTCTTCAATTGAATATTGTGACTTTTTTTCAGACCCCTACATTAATATTCGGTAGTCCACCAGATGAGGAAAATCGTACCAATCTCAATGAAGCTCTGCAATTTTTGGATACATTTTTGGAAGGTCAAAAATGGGTTGCAGGGGACAACATGACTATTGCCGATTTTTCGATCATCACTGTGATTGCCACGATCGAGGTAATCGAAAACATCTAACAAATCTCATACAGGGTGTTTCGTAATATGAGGAATGCACTTCGAGAGGTGATAGGCTTCGTTTGTGAGATACATACAGATTGTTGAAGTTGAAAATATTCATAGATTTTTTATGGCCACACCCCGTATATGGCTTATCGTGGTGGCAAAATTTAGTCTGTTATGTCACTCTATCCGACATCCTCGGACATCTAGATCAAATTTTGGAGTTGAATTTGGTTATTTGGTTTTTCTCGAAGACTGTGTATCTTTACGAGATGCTTTTTTTACAAAATTGCATCCTCTTTCATATTTTCGATTAAAATTTTGAAAAGTTTCATCGCCACCCATGTTTTTTCTGAAAAATCACACATCAATACCCCTTAACGGTGCCACTGGGTGTCAGATTGAATAAATATATAATGCTACCCATTCAATCACTCTCAGCTCTCAGCTACTGTTATATACTTACCCAATGTTACGGTTATGAGTTTCATAATGTACACACCACTGATATATCATGCATGTCCATATGTCAAGTCTGTCATACATATGTCATAAGTCTTAAGTCAGTATATAAGGTGAGTGCAATTATGACAGCTTCCTTCTTGATTGGTACGTGCTATGAGCAACCATAAGTAGAGCTTTCCAATTTATAATGGGTATGTGGAATAAAAGTATGAAAGTATTATCAGTACTTTATTAATTACCAAACGTAGTTACAACAATTACAACAGGTACTGAGCTATGCACCCCAATATCAAGAATTTTTGATTAGCGGTTATCTAGTAATTCGATGAAAATTATTTATAATTCTCAACTTGCACACCCTGTATCTCGCAAACGACACATGTTAAGAAACACTCTATATATTGCCTTTATTTTTTGAATCGAAACTCGTAAATAACCACAAACTGCATTTCTAATCATTTGTTTTTTTTTGTCTTCAATCACTTTGTGGAAAATAGGTCAAAATGTGAAATATGGACTCACCAACCCTTATTGTGAAATCTTTATTTTCTGATCGGTGTTTATGGATTTTTTTTTTCGTTGGATGATTGATTTTTGAGCCAGTTTATTCCGTTTAGGGAAAAAACCGAAAATCCAAACATTTGTTCGTCTCCAAAACTATGGATAATTCTGGATAATTCAAACCTTTCTGGCTTGGAAGAAGAATAACGCAGATATTGTGTAATAATTGACACTATTTTTTTGTGTCAGGCTGCTGGATCTATCGACCTGCCTTCTTTTTCCAACGTCTGGAGCTGGTATCAAAGAACTAAATCAGCCATGGAAAGTTTCGGATACGAAGAAGTTTGTCAGACAGGTGCAGATGCTTTCGGATCGGCTTATAAGAGCAAACTCAAGTGAAAAAAGTCAATGATTGTACCTTTAAAAATGTCTCATACATTACTATTCGACGAAATTATGAAACCCAAAATGTTTTTCATTAGATTATAAACTGTAGGTAGGTACTTCAAGGTTTATTATTCACTTTATAAAACACTGATAATTATTGTCACTAAAATATTTTTACTTTGTGATTTAAAGAGAGAATTTCGAAGGTGTTTCAATGAAATAAACTGATTTTCAGTTTCTTTCATCATTATTATTAGTTTTACTAACAAGATTATATTAGCTATTTTTTTGTAAAATATTCTTGAATACATTATATTGATAATGTAAGAAAGTTATAAACTATACCGATTTCATATCATTGTCGATGGTAATTATAAGAAAAGTAAGGCTTTTTCGATTGTAACTGTCGAAAATATATATATTATAGCAATGCCTTCATCTTTTAATGGAAATTTCAGAGGAAAGTCCAAAAACTCGTATAGGAACCAGGAAAGAAGATACTTTGATGCCAGACCATCTTTTTCATTGACTTTCTCACAATTTCATGTGTGGCCATTCAATCTAGCAACCAGAAAAAGTGATTCACTTATTCACAATGTTTTCGTGGAACAAAAAGGTGTCAACCAAAACTGATGGCCCTGAAAATGTTTCAATTCTACTTCAAAATTTGACAGTGTCTTGGGAGTTATTCGGTCTGTTTCATTTTCGTTTTACTACCCTGTATTGTTGGCGAGAAATTTTGAGAAGAAGCCAAGACAAACTGAGTTATAGGCCATGAAAAATCATTTAAAAGTTATATCAATTTGTTTATTGTTCATTTACACATTGAGCATAGTTTCAGTAAACATTAATTGTACCTATTATTAATATTTTGAACTAAGTGGTTCAGACAAAAATCTGTTTGTATGGGACTCTTTCAGTAACTCTCGTGACTATGGTGACTGCAATAGTTGATATTGTTTTGGAGATCGCCGGTTTCAATTCTGCATATACTGCTTTCCATTCTTCATTGAGAATCTTATTCGTGCTCTTTCCTGTAAAATACAATCGATTCGATCAATTGAAAAAGGTTTTTTTCAGAAGAGAAATCCAGTAGAAAGAATATTCCTAATCTTTTTCACCAAAATCTACTCGAAATTATTATTTACCTAGTTCTTCATTTCCATTGAAAAGATTATCGAATTGTAATTGCAAATTATCCAGATCGATATCAATGTTGTTTTCTCCCAACTGGATGTACTCATCACCATCTCTTTCTACCAGGTCGTATTTCAAATTGAATTTAATATCAACGTTACCTGAAAACATGGTTTTTTTCAGAAATTATTCGAGGCCAGATACAATAAACGCAAAAAATCAACGCACCATCAGAAAGTATCCAAAAGTTTGACATATACAATGTTTGTCAAAACTATACTTGTTCGATTCGGACGTTTTTTGTTTTGAATGACAGGTTGTCCAATTCTGAATATTTGCACGCTTGTAGCCTCATGAAAACCTCTTTTTTATGAACACCAGGTGTAGCAATACTGTAGAGTGTTACAGTTACATTATCAAGTTAGGATTAAAATTACACTAGCCTCATATTTTTCCAACATTCCTTCTTTGGATTTACTCCATTACTATTCCTTTAATCCCATATAAGCACGTAAGTATAGTAGGCTATGATCTGGGGAGGCATTTCTTTGACTAATAACATTCAACTTGTGATTATAAAGGGAAGATTGGAAGCATTACAGCTGAAAGGTAAATATATTGGATACTTTAGAACCACATAAATAGTGTAAGGATTTTTGTTGATGCTAGATAATTCGTGAGAGAGTATCTAGAGGAAGTTGGTATCGCTACCATGGCATAGCCAGCTCGGAGCCCGGATTTTAATCCCATTTAGCATCTCTGGGAGGGGATTACAAGAGGGAACGTAAATTGATTACTTTGGAAGACTTTTGGCAAAGACTGATTCAAATTCTGGAAGACCTGGACCAAAATGACATGAGGTCTCCTATTTTAAGTAGCAGCCGTCTTTTGCCAAGAAGTACTCACTACTGACCCTTTCGTTTAACTTGAGACTTCGCATTATGTTTCATTCTTTTGTTGTTGAAGTCGGTTACTAATTTTTCAGAAAATCATGTAACGCTATAAAATGGTGTTTCTCGAAAAATAGGAAAGATAATGGAGTGAATCTTAAAAAAACAAAAAACGTTCAAATCTGAAGAGTATTTTTGAGGAAAATTTATATTTTGGCTTCTTTTTGTTGTCGTGTTGATTTCTTGGGGAAGAATATGATTTTCTACAACTGGTTCTTACTTACTAGCTATCAAGCTGCAGTCGCCATTGCCCTTCAGAGGAATTACGAGAATTTTTCCGTCCATTTGATATTTCCCCAAAATTTCGAGTTTTTCTCCTTTGAACTCAAATTGTAAAGCTTTGCCTGGCAGATCGACTCTAAAAAAAACAATCGATAACTGTGTTGACAATTCGATTCATGACAATATCGAAATCTTTTCTGAAACTAGGTATAGGTACCTATACAATGCTATATGAAATATTGAAAATCTCGTCTGGAACGAGATTCGCGTTTTTCAAAATCTTTCAAGAATCGATGAATGGTTATTTCTCCTTAAAGTTTGATGTCAATGTTTAGATTGGAGTTCCATTTGTGATGAAGATTATTAGAAAAAAATTAGGTATTCTATATCCAATCCATGAACATTTTTATATGAATAATTTCTTCTTGAAAATCCGTTCACTTTTCTCTTATTCATCAAAGCCATATTTCGTGCTATCATAATATGTGCATGGTATATCAAGAAAGGCACAAACTATTCGTTGAACTACAAAATCCCCTGTATATGTTCATATGTACAAATGTTTTACAATGGCATAATTGTAAAGAAAGTTACGTGTAGGCAAATCTCTAACAATATAATTTGAAACAAATTTTCAAAACTTATTCCTCTTATAGACGCCCTTCTTCTACTTCTTTGCTGAAATATTGGTATAGCATTAACATACGAAATCTGAAATGAACTTTTAGAAAACAGACTTTGTTGAAAAAAATGAATCTAGAAAACCTATGAACTACAAGTTTATAAGATTTTTTCTTGTTTTTTGCAAGGCAGTTACCCTTGAATATTTCCCCACCATTGTAGTAACACTTTTGCGATTTTTCCTTACTTGATTTTTGTGACATCAATTTTATCCAATCCGAAAACTTTCACTTTGCTCAAAATGATGGTGAGATTCCCCCCCGTCTCCACTGAAATCGACTCCAGTTCGAGGGGGTTGAGTATCGGGATTCCATATGTTTTGTCTCCGTTCAACATTTGGGGAATGGATTCTTTGGCGTGTTGCAATGCGCAGGCGTCGATGTTCGGGTCATCTTTGTGGCATGCTTTGATATATGGAGCTGAAATAGGAATTTCAAGAAAAAAAAATTACAAAGATATCTGTGAATGTAACATATACATTCTTCTGTTGAAGGAGTTACTGAGAAGTGTATCCCCATAATGTTCTAAGAACATCGTGCAGATTCATTCGCGAAACGTTCAATAGATGTATGAAAATGTGATATTTTATTGCAATACATATATGATAAATACTGTCTGTAGGTTAATCGAGAGGTGGTACATTCATTTCACTTGATTATTTGGGATTTTCTCTTTCCGTTTCTATAAAATAAAAATATGAGTATTATTCCAATATATGTGTAGTAGGACGAATCGGATGATTTGCTCCAAAATGTCACTGCGTTTAAAAAAATGTTTCTATTACTGCTATGAAAAGTAGCGCATTTCTCATAGCTTACTTAGTTTCAAAAACATGTATTGCTCATACTGTGAGAAATATTTTTTCTCACGGCACTTTGCCAACATCACATACATTTCCATGGAGAATCAACGAAAATATTTGAATAGTTGTCACAACTGTCAGAAGAAGTTTTTTAAAGTTTTAGGGTAGCCCAAAAGAAAAATGCAATAGCTTGTCAGTTACAATTTGTTTGGAAGAATATTTGATGGAAAGAAATATGGATATATTGAAGAAATAGTGAATTTTTACTTATCTTTGGACGTTTATGTTGAGAACGGCAGCAGATTCGTTCCATAGTATTACTTATATTCAACTATATTTTTTTACGTTTGTAGAAAAAATTTCGTGGTTTGTAACACGTGCGCGAAATAATTTGGTCATTTCGACTTTTTTTTAACTCGGCTGCGTCTCGTTTAAAAATCATGTCTCGATCAGATCGCTCACTAGATAGAAAAATAACTATTTATTTCATAAAAAATGTGGTAGATCCTTGATTTTTTGAATTGACTCAGCCGTTACTTGATGGAAATCCACAAAATTTAGGAAATCTTATCGTTTGTGAAGTTTTTACAGATACTTGATTTAATTTAGAAACTTTCAAATGGCATACAGAATTATGACGAGATATAATTATTTTGTATTTTGATCAAATGCTGGTAACACATCTATAAAAAATAGTAATTTTATATTTTTATAACGATAATTTCTTTCATAATCATTTCAAAAGAGCAATAATCAAATCTACCCAGGCTAATTCAATTATTCATTATTATATTCCGTGATTAACTTTATGTTAATAAAACAAAATATATTAATTTATGTGAATTTTCAATGTCATGGTTACATATAAAAGGAGTCAAGGTTAACAATTTCATTATTTTTGAATGGATTTTTTCGGATGAATTGTTGTTCATGAAGAAGTAAATAATAATTTCGCGCGCGTTTTTATTAAAAGATTATGGACACTTAATTAATTTCAAGAGTAAACTGAATATTAGGTTCCTATATTGAAGAGATCAATAAATATCAAGATAATTATGTGATTATAAAATATGTATACTCAATTATTATTAGTTGTCATGCTGCAAAATTTGGAAAAAATGAAACAGAATGATTCAAATACTGTAATTCTCAACACCTTTCGGTCATTCAAAAACGTTTATGAAATATTTTTTGTACGAATTTCTTGAATCTGTGCTCACTTTTTCTTCATATCAACAAAATACAGGGTGGCTAAAAAGAAAAAATATGTTTTCAAATGAAATGATCTAAATCAAAAATCAGTTTGACGGGCTTTATCGAATTATGGAAAAAAATATGGATTATTTCATTTAAAAGAAACAAACGTTTTTCTGAGCCTGTATTTTGTTGATATAAAGAAGAAGTAAGCACAAACTCAAAGAAATCGTAAGAAATCACTCCAGAAAAGTTTTTGAAAAACCAAAATATGTTGAGAATAACGAGGAAGAGAGGAGGAATAAATTCAAGTGAGACACCCTTTACTTTAGAGTGAAACATGTTATTTGTCCTAACAGAAGCAAGGCCTACTGCATATATTTTCAGGAGTTGAAATTCAGAAAATTTTATATAAGCGATTTTTTCACGAAAAAATTGAAATCAACATTGTATATAGCACACCATCGAATGGTTGTATATTGACTGCGGTCAGGATTTTGAGTTTTTTGAATCACAATACCCCAACGAAAAAATCCAGTGGTGTCAGGCCCGGGAATCAAGACGGCCATTTAATGAGAGTACCATCCTACTAATCCACAGAATTCAATAATTATTATTAGCTAAAATGATTTCTTGAATTTGAACCTCAAAAAATATTTGCGCAGTGAGCTTCTGTTTTTGTAGATACAAAATATGTTTCGTCCTGAAGTACAGTTTTTTCAGCTCTACAATTCAAAAAAAGTTCCGTCGAAATCGGTGAATTGATCTTAGGCGCTCATATATCTTTAGTAATCCAGAAAGTATTTACAATTTCCAATGAAATAAAAGTTACTAAAAACAATACTCACGAAGAGGTAGTTTTTTGGCTTCACTGAGACTGTAGCCTCCCAAGAAAAGCACGGAAAATAGTAAACACCACATTTTGTTCTGTTGAATAATGTTTCAATGAGATCGAATTTTTGATTGATGAATTCTTAGGGTTCATCTTATCTTATATAGCTGTTTGATTTGCTTAAGTTTCTGAAAGGAGAGGGATCAAAATGTAAAACTGGTGAGAAGTGTCTACAAGCATATTCGGTCGTGACTATAGGTTGTGAATTATTTGGTGTTTTTGAGTGAAAAATATAATTGACCTGAATCTTACTATTTCAAAAACTATAGTTACTTCTCATTTGAAATAAATTGTAGATACATTCGTGATATAAAATCGATGTAGGAAATTTGAAATATCCAATCGATAGTTTCCACATCTCTGTGAATGATAACAATCACTAGATTTTTCAAATGATTTTAAAAATATTTCTCATTCAATCTCTGAGAAGAGAATGTCATTCTGTCGTGTAGGGTAATTAAATTACCTTTATAAATCATATTCCAAATGAAAAGATCTTGTGAATTTGCACAAGAAAAAACACTTTTCCCTAAATACAAAGGAGGTATCTATGGGCAAAATCAATATGAATTGAAAAAAGGAATGGGTTAGCATGATTCGACACACAGAACGAAATTTAATGATATTTTGCAAAAAATAATTAATCACCATTAATATTTTACAAAATAGCCACCAATCAAATCACTTTTCTATATTATAAAGGTTGCCTACCTATAATCATCATCATAATTAAATACTTATATGTTTAAAAATGTTGTTTAATCGTGCTTGTATACTCTCCGAACTCATGATTCATGATTGTTTTTTCATATACAATTAATTCCATCGGGTTGTTGTGTTGCATTTTTATTTCACTTTTTCTATTATTTTTTTTAGTACCCATTTTCGTCAGACCATCAGGAGGAAGCAATATAATTAATTTGACCTACAAAAATATATGGTTCTAATGGTCAACACAGGAACTTTATAATATTATCATATTATGGTCAATAATTATCACATATTAATTAATAATATTAGAATCCTTAGGCATCCTGAAAATAAATGAAAAATTAAATTATCAAAAAACGCTGCTGCTCTTGGAATCTTCAAATGGAACACCCTGGATTTTATTCGGCTACGGTGATACCTATAGTTGATTGATTTCTCAATATAGGTAGATTTTTTTCAGTCCATGATGGAGAAAATAAAGATCATGTCTTTACAGAGGTTTTCACAGCCATTTTTCATCCTGTGAAGCAGGAGATGATATAAAAAATTAAAATATTCTTCTGGGTGATAAAAATTCGTGTTTTGAACATGGTGTATACTGCAGAGCTTTGGGGCATCTCATTCGACGTGAAAACACTTTGGATGTGCATGAAACTCTTTATTAATCGATCAAACTGATGTTAATCAAGGACTTTCACATGTAGAAAGTCTTCTATCTACACAGTTACATTTTTTACGACTAACTTGAATAATAACATTTTACATTGCTTTTCAACAATTTCACGCACATGAGGTTCAGCACCCAAACATACGCTGATGCTCTTAGATTCTATCCAGAGTAGGGCCATCCGCCAGGTGAGTGCGATGCCACACTCACTTATACTTTGACCTCATTAGAACACCATAGGGAAGTCGGCGACCTTTCACTTTTCCACGGGAAGTATTCCTCAGAAATCTCTGCTATAATTCCATCACTAGGAATGACACTCAGACGAACTCGATCGACAGGCCCAGTTAATATATATCCTTCCGTTGCCAATCTTGAAATATGTCGTCGAACAACACTCAAAGCTATGGAATTCATTGCCAATGGAAGTATTCGAAATAACTTATTTATAACTTCCAATAGTTAAAAAAAAATGCCAACACCCAACTCCTCTCCTTATTCTACCTCTAGAGTTCCTAAATGTACATGACACTGCTGATTTCAAAATCAAGCAGTGTCAAGATTATTTAGGAACTCTATTTCTACCTAGTCAGCAGTAGTCAGCACGATAAAAAGGTTCTCCACCCTGTATATAAGTATTCCTTGAAAGATCAGTTTTGAGTACGTTGCTCCAATCCCAATAAAATGGATTTTTAAAATCAATAATTATAGTATTGTTGAGAAGTCAGGCTGCAAAACGATGATACCTACACCGTAAACAAAATCCCAGACAGAAAACGAGCAAAACCACTGTTATAATTTATTATTTCTGTCAAAACTCGTCAGATTTCGATTCCAAACTAAGTGGTTGTTAATGAGTGTCCTTCTGAACAATTACTTTACTAATTGCAAAGAGTTGAATAAACGTGTAGGTATATGCACTCGAAAATAATTATTGATCTCTGATACAATAAAAATATTTTTGTATGCGATATGTGAGTAATGAAAACCTATATTATCATATATCACGTAATAGGTACGACAAATACTTATAATGCAAAAAAATATATACCTACCCAACATGAAACAAAAACAAAATTGAATCCCTATTTTGACAACTAAGTTATCAACCTCAGTATAGTTTAGAAAAGTATAAATATTCTTATTTCATATCTTTCGATATATACTCCAGATTTTAAAGCTTGCTAAAATTTCAGGAGAACCAACAACCTAGTTGAATTCAACGCCACCAAAACTCAATGCCTGTGTTTTTTCTAAAAATTCCGATCTAAGTAGGTATGCCTCGTATGACAAGTCTGGTATATATTACTAGATTCTACTCCCACAGACTCCTGAAAATACTAAAGGAGTCATCAGTTGATGTTTATTCACTTTTCAGCTTCCAACGCTTCATTTCATAGAATTCTCGAGATCACTTCATTTTTCAATCTATGGATCTCTGTGATATCTGTTGGTATTCGTAAAAGTTGAGTTGCATCTACTAATAGTTATTTATGTATCGAGGGTGTAAAATAGGCTTATATGGACCGTACATAAAAGCAAGGTACCCCCGAAATACATTCAACATTTTATGCACGAACCAATACCGGTATATTTGATTTTTCATTATGAATATACCTCGATTCACCTCTCAAGAACGATGGAAATAAATCAAAATTTTGAAAGTAAAGTGCCACTTCACGCCCGTTCGAGCATAAAACATATTTTACTACTACTTTATGAGGTTGAGAATCACCATGCTCAATTTAGAAATCTTTAACAAATCAGCAGCAATTAGTTTTATCTTCAAACTATTATTGAATTGAGGTTGCATTGGTAAAAATCCATGGTCATTAAATACCGATCTATTCTTTGGAAAATTCTAGGAGATAGTCTACCATCTTCGTTCAGTTCTTGACTCAAAATGATTTATAATACATCAGTTTTCGTGACATAAGCAGTTTGAATATGAGATTTTTCATAGAGTTTTTGAATAACTTCACTGCAGTCGAACTGCTGAAAATGTTCGCTGATGGGGCCTTCAGGACATCAGATGAAATCAAAATGGCCGATTACACGATAAACTACAAGGTGATTTTCAACGATGAAGATATACCCACCGAAGAATTGAAGATATACAAACACCTTCAGAGGGTAGTAGATGGCATAAGGCTCCAGTACACATTCTATGTTAAGAATCTAGACGAAACTTTCAGGTACCTACCTAAAATGCATATAAATACCTATTTCGGCAACTATATTACCATCATCAGTAGACTCTTGATGAATTGATGATTCAGTATACTTCTTTGGCATGTTCTTGAATTTTTTTCGTTCATACAGTGCTTTTCTTTAATGTCCCCCCTCCCGTTATGTTTTGAATGGGTGAACGAAAAGAATTTAAACTTGGGGTAAGGAAATCGTTGCATGAATACCATATTTTGGAGTATAATTTACAGATGAGGATATCAAGATGGCGACTGGGCGCCATCTGGGGACGAATATATATGGAAAGGGGGATCCTCTGATACATCTTCTTGAAGCACCAGACGAATACTTTACAACCCTAGAATGTGAAGTCAATGTCGCCATTTTGTTGTAGGTGACGATATTGGCTCCAATTCTAGGGTTGAGAAGTATTCCTCAGGAGCTTGCAATTTTTTTCCCAGATGGCAACCAGTCGCCATCTTGAAATTTTCATCTGTCAATTTCACCCCGAGATATTTCAAAAAATAAAAGGGTAGGCATTAAAGAGAAGCAATGAATGTTATTCTTTACTATTTTTAGATACTATTCGACAGAAGAGGTACCATTCAATCATTTTATTAAATATGGTGAAAACGAAAGAGAGGTCAAGAGGCTCAATATTGTAGAAAGAAGAATAATCTTTGCATTCAAAGCTAAAGATGAGAACATCAGCGTATTCACATGGTTGAAGGTAATGAAAATACAATTGAGCATTCTAGTGAAACCACTCAATGATTTTTTTTCCTTGAACGGTTCGCGCAATGCATTAGAGGCTTATACTGGTCGAAAAATATTTTTTTCCTAATTGACCTAAAAATCCCAAAAAATTCATAGACAATAATTCAGACCAATAAAGAACGAATTTGATGTCAGATTTGAGAAAGAACCCTTCTCCTTGATTTTCAAAGTCAGCGGTTCACGCGATGCAGTAGGCTTATACCGGTCGAAAAATATTTTTTTCCTGACTAACCTAAAAATCCAAAAAAAATTCATACACACTGATTCAGACCCATAAAGAACGAATTTGATGTCAGATTTAAGAAAGAACCCTTCTCCTACATTTTCAAAATCAGCGGTTCACGCGATGCAGTAGGCTTATACCGGTCGAAAAATATTTTTCTCCTGATTGATCTAAAAATCCCAAAAAATTCATAGACACTAATTCAGACCCATAAAGAACGAATTTGATGTCAGATTTGAGAAAGAACCCTTCTCCTAGATTTTCAAAATCAGCGGTTCACGCAATGCAGTAGGCTTATACTGGTCGAAAAATATTTTTTTCCTGATTGACCTAAAAATCCCAAAAAATTCATAGACACTAATTCAGATCCATAAAGAACGAATTCGATGTCAGATTTGAGAAAGAACCCTTCTCCTAGATTTTCAAAATCAGCGGTTTACGCGATGCAGTAGGCTTATACCGGTTGAAAAATATTTTTTTCCTGATTGACCTAAAAATCCCAAAAAATTCATAGACACTAAT